TAATGCTGTTTGAATACAGAAGGGAAACAACGCCTCTGTAGCCACAAAGAATATCAAAGAAGTTTATGGAAAAGTCAGATTCTGTCTTTAGAAACTGTTTAGTAGCTTAACAGTACTGTCAGATTCTGTCTTTACAAACTGTTTAGTAGCTTAACAGTACTGTCAGATTCTGTCTTTATAAACTGTTTAGTAGGTTAACAGTACAGTCAGATTTTGTCTTTATAAACTGTTTAGTAGGTTAACAGTACAGTCAGATTCTGTCTTTATAAACTGTTTAGTAGGTTAACAGCACTGTCATATTCTATCTTTATAAACTGTTTAGTAGGTTAACAGTACAGTCAGATTCTGTCTTTATAAACTGTTTAGTAGGTTAACAGTACAGTCAGATTCTGTCTTTACAAACTGTTTAGTAGCTTAACAGTACAGTCAGATTCTGTCTTTATAAACCGTTTAGTAGGTTAACAGTACAGTCAGATTCTATCTTTATAAACTGTTTAGTAGGCTAACAGCACTGTCATATTCTATCTTTATAAACTGTTTAGTAGGTTAACAGTACAGTCAGATTCTGTCTTTATAAACCGTTTAGTAGGTTAACAGTACAGTCAGATTCTGTCTTTATAAACTGTTTAGTAGGTTAACAGCACTGTCATATTCTATCTTTATAAACTGTTTAGTAGGTTAACAGTATAGTCAGATTCTGTCTTTATAAACTGTTTAGTAGGTTAACAGTACAGTCAGATTCTGTCTTTACAAACGAATAAAGTGAAAGTTTAGACATATGTGGTTCAAGACCCGTTACTTTAATGATTTACAGATTCAAATCCCACCTCATTTTAGTTTATACCTCTTCAAAATTTCCCCCAATGGCTCAATAGTAAGCTAGAGGACTTATATCACTAAATTTCGGGGTATGATCATTGCCTTGAGCATAAATCCTATTGCCCATTGTGTAGTCTTACCCTTAAAAACAAACTTCGTTAAAATAGTTCTGACATCAAAGGACAGTGTAAAACATATGAAATTCAAAACATTTAATCAGTTATATGATTTCAATGAGTACATTAGAAAATAATAAATATAATGCTGTGTCTCTAATACAATATGTTCAGTATGAGCTCATGAAAAAAGCACTCATACACTATTTTATCATCGCAACTCTGTTAATACTAAAAATTAACGTCAAATATTTTTTTCCCATTTTAATGCAGTTTTTCCGACGACACTCTGCAACAATGTTTATAGAACATTTTGAAATTGTTTACTTAAATTGAGACGGAATCCAATCACGAATTTTACCGTTTTAACTCTGTAAACTTACCGCTGACCCACCAGGGGACACAAAGCTACACAAAGGTCTATCTGGGTTGTGTCCTTGTAGGGTACCGAAATCCGATTTTTAGCGTTGTATGACCTCAGACTACTACGTGTAGAAAATATAAAGAAACTGCTTAGAATATCTAAAACATTGAATGTAACATTTGCACGGTGCGGATGATTATTACACGCAAGGGTAAAAAAAATAACATGGTTCACTGCAAAAAAAAAGAAAGTAATCTGAGCAGATCACTGGTATCCGACCAATAACAAATATTGTTACTTTAGGGTTTTCTTCAAATTTATACGAGATAATTCAAACATTGTTGAATTTACTAATCATCAAACAATATAATATAAGGCCCCCCAGTGGCACAGCGGTATGTCTGCGGACTTACAACGCTAGAAACTGAGTTTCGATACCCGTGCTAGGCAGAGCACAGATGGCCCATTGTGTAGCTTTGTGCTTAATTCTAAACAAACAAACAAACAATATTATATAATATAAGAGACCAGTTGAAGCTTTAAAAAGGAATAAACATCTACGAACATCTGTAACCAGTATTGGAATACCCTAATTGTTAATATCCTCCTCCCCCCAAAATAAGAACGTCATTGCATAAATTATCGCTTACAATATTAGCAGATATTGAGAAAATTGCATTAGTAAATTTTACTGATATAAACTTTTGTTGCGGTGTATCTTAAAGTTACTTGGCTTCTAATATAAACTTTTGTTGCGGTGTATCTTAAAGTTACTTGGCTTCTAATA